CCTCTGCCCCTCTCTCCGCCCCCCTACCTCCTCCACCCCCAGGCTACGAGGCAGTACCACTGTACTCTGGCACCAAGACTCGTGAGCAAGTGGCGCACGTGTGTGGTTCCTGCTGGCTCATCTTTGGACACTGCTGTCATGACGAGAGTAGGACCAGCTCGGCTAATGTAAGTGAGGTTATGAAATCACATAATTGATTTATTTGCCTTGGTAGCATTCAAATCAGGAAACGACAAATTTTAATGCAGTTTTTGGGACGCCTGAATAGACATAAGGCTCTTGAACATCTAGCTCTCACTGGCAACATTGAGGGCAAACGAGGCAGGGGTAGGCCCAGAACAACTTACTTAGGGAACCTAAACAAATGGGTAACATGGAAAGATCAGGGAAAAGTAGCTTTTTTTGAGAGCATACGAGCAAAGGAATGAATGGAGAACCATGATCGCCGATGTCTGTCGCAGATTTGGCACTGGATGATGATGATGGTAGTGTTCAGTGGCACTGGTGTTACAAAGGTTATATTATACACCCACCCATGCACACAACACACGAGAACATAACGATTACATTATTATTACTACATGTTTAAACAGCTCCACATCATAAACGTTCTCTCTCTCTCTGTATCTCTCTTTCTCTCTCTCTCTCTTTCTCTCTCTCCCTCTCTTTGTATCTCTCTTTCTCTCTCTCTCTCTTTCTCTCTCTTTCTCTCTCTCTGTATCTCTCTCTCTTTCTCTCTCTCTCTCTCTCTCTCTCTCTCTCTCTCTGTATCTCTCTCTCTCTCTCTCCAAGACAGTAACAAATACAAAGAAGAAGGAGGAGAGATAAGGACGATAGATAATTGGTAAGAAAGAAGTCCTGGAGCAAACCAAACCAGAGCACCCACCAACCACGCCCTGGGTGCTCTTTCTCGTCTGGTTCCTGCTCTTAAAAAATGGAAGTGTTTTTTACCCAAAATTGACACAATGAGGCTTACTGACAATGTGAGGTACTTTTCTTGCAATCCACGAGTGGAGATGTCGACCGAAAATAATATACATGCATACACACCAAGTTTCTAGATTTTAAGCTGATGCAAGTCCCTTCAAGTTTAACATTTATCTAATCTTTCATCATTATATAAATAATACAACGCACAGATCCAGTCTATGAATTTGGTGTGTCTATCTGGGTCCATAGGGCTTAAATATGGGAATTAACTATTTTGTCAGCATACCTCATAATAATATGTAGATCATTTAGGAGGGGCAAACTTCATCTCATCTCATCTCATCTCATCTCATCTCATCTCATCTCATCTCATCTCATCTCATCTCATCTGTCGTAATCTCATCTTATTTCTTCTAATCTACTCTGCTCTCCTCTGCTCTCCTATCCTATCCTGTCATTTCATTTCATTTCATCTCATCACATCTCATCTCATCTGATCTCATCCCATCTCATCTGATCTCAGCTCATACTACCTTATTATATCTCATCTTACCTAATGCTGTCTGATGTCATCTTATCATCACCCCCTCCCTCTCCCCC